GCGGCGGGAGCGCGCAGCTGGGCATCGGCGAGGCCGAGGCGGGGCGCATCGCCGACGACGCGGCGCGGCAGGGCGCCATGACGCGCGCCGAAGAGGACGCGGCCAACGATGCGGCCATCGCGCAGGCGCTGTGGGAGCTGGGGCAGGAGGACGAGCAGAGGCGGCTCGGCGCCGGCTACGTGCCGCCCACGGCCGAGAACCCGACGGGCAGCGGCGGCAGGGCGGCGCTGCTGGGGGCGGGGTGGGAGGACGACCAGTGGGCCTGCGACGTCTGCACACTGCTCAACCCGGCCAACTACCTGTGCTGCGACGCGTGCGGCGTCGAGCGGAGCGGCGAGGCCGACAGGGACCTCTCTGCGATGGCGGCTAAGCGTCGCAGGGTGCAGCATGACGGCAGCGGCGGCGCGCCGGAGGTGGTGGACCTCACGCAGGACAGCTCACCCCGGGCTCCTAAACCACCTGCCGCTGCCGCTGCCGCTGCCGCGAGCCGACTAACTGCTTCGGGCCCAGGCCCGGCATCGAGCCATCCGGCCAGGCCCCGGCCGGCGACATGGAACTGCTCCCTTTGCGGCACGCGCATGGAGCACAAGTGGTGGACGTGCTCGACCTGCGGCAATATGAAGGACAGCTCCTGAAGAGGGGGTGTTCCGGGGGGGGGCGGGCAATGACATGACATGACAGGCATGACCAACACACACACTTACAACATAGCCACGGCGAAATGGGATGAAACGGCGTTTTTTTATTTTATTTTTATTTCCTAACATTTCTTTTTGGCTTTCCCCCCCCCTCTTTATACTTTTCGTCCCGTTTTATATCAGATAGCCGATTCGGAGCTGACCCAACGGCAGGCCGCCAATTGCGTCTTGCACTTCTGCCCTCCCCACACTTGCCTTGTCTGTCTGTCGATGGCTTTTTCCCGAGACCCGTCTAGCCCTTCGCGGCCTACTTGTCGCACTATCTAAATAGGGCCTGTTCCGGCACTTGCCAAATTATTTGACCATCTTGGTACCACTAACCGCGCGCTGTGGGGACGAGCGAAGAGGGTCCTTTTTATTTTCATCTTTTTTATCTCCTGATATTTCTTGTTTGTCTTTGGGGCAGTGAGAGTGAGGCGTGCTAAGCCCCCGGATGGAGCTGAGGTCGGTGCCCTTCGTAACCGCGCCTGCCTGACATGTGGATCTGCGCCGTGATAGCTGTGTGATGACGTAGTTGGCCCGTGGAGCTCTCTCTCACCCGCCGCCGCCCGCCGCTCACGTCAGTGCTGGACGGATCCTGCCCCGGTACCGGACAACAAAGAAAGATTGGCGAGGCGTCATGCACGCCCGCTTCGCTGTACAGTCACCCACTTGAACTCAACAAACAACGCAAACACGGGGACCCGAGCATTGAGAGCATAGGTATTGCTAAATCGCATGTCATCGTGTCTCCCTTCATATTCGCGACACGGAGGACCATCCGAGGAGACTCTGGGTTTGGGATAAAAAGGGCCTAGAACAGCTTGGCCTCGACGAGCAGAACGGAGGAGCTGGGTTGATGGAAAAGCTTCTCGGGCAAAAGTCGGTCGAAAAAGGCCGGCGGCGATATAGCAGCTTTCTCTAGGTGGTGGTGAGAAGGAGGTAGCGTGGGAGCTTCTAGCTCAACCGCCCGTCCCCCTTGTTCCACCGTAGATCTGCACGGTCTCCCTTCTTGGCCTAGCCTGCAACGCGATGGTCCCGAAAACCGAAGACGGCCAAGAAAGCCCAGGTACCCCTGCCTGATGGACCAATGTCAGGCGGGGTGGCGCTTTTGCTGTTGCGCGGAAGCCTCCTGTCTCTGGAAACGAGAGTGTGTGGTGTGGTGTGGTGTGGTGTGTGATGTGAGCCCTGACCCCCAACCCCCAAGACGGTCGGCGAGGGAATAGCCTGCTTGCAGAAGAGCACAGCCGTCCACCTCGCACGAACGCAAGATCCTGGAGAGGCAAACAAGCTCGCAACCTCACGCTGCCAGGCGTGCAGGCGCGCGTACACAATGTTTTCCCCCCGATTTTCTCTCGCCACCCTTACCAAGGCTTATGTGGGGGTACGGGGGCACGGGAGTTTATTGTACCTAGGTACATACTCAGTCAGCTGTGTGGTTTTCTTGTCCTTCAGGGTCCACGGTTCCCGGTCCACAGAAATGAGACCCTTGGATCGCCCTGCCCGGATCTGTGGATGTGTCCCTGGAGGGCCAAGAGGCTCGGCACGCTCTGCGTGCGTCAAGATCGACGAGGGGAAAGCAAAGATGGAGGGGGCAGGGGGGCACAGATGGTGACGGGCGCGCCAAAAAAGAAAGACGAAGGACGGAGGAGTGGAGGAGGGCTGATCTGATCCCAACAGTCGGTGCTGGGCTCCTTGAACCTCAGGTGCTCAGGTCCGATTGCGCGTCATAACCCGAAAAAGGCGGCTTGAGCTGTGGGGTCGCAGGCCGCTCAAGGTTGGTTCTGCTGAGCTTCGGTGACCAAGTCGCGTGTCCAGATTTTTTGGTGTTGTCGACGAAGGCGAAAGGGGACGGAGGAGAGGGAAGATGAGAGACGGGAAAGAAAGGGGGAGACCAAAAAGAATGTGCAAAATGGAAAAAATTAGAACTTGGAATTGAAAAGGAAATGGAAAAGGAAACGGAAATGGCTGCTCTAGCCATTTTAGAAGGCGTTACTTGTCAATGGACGGTTGGGTGCTGGCTGCTCTTGCCTTTTTCCGCGTGCGGCGAGATCTGGATGCAAAAGCCCAGATGACGACATGGGAATTTGCTGGACCGGGGTAGCAAAATCGCACAGCGGCAGGATCTTCGATGCTCCCACTGGCTCCCCAGCCCTTTCCCTTTTATTCTCCCCGAGGCGCTTGCAAAAAAAAGCTCCAACAACCTTTTCCAGCACTAGCGTCGGGACGGGTCCAATGCCATCCATGTAAAACCAGGCACCCAGGTAGGTCAAGCCGTCGTCCTTATTCGGTATTGTCCTCTGGCCTCGCGAGCGATGGGCGGCCACATCAGACTACCTTGGCTACCTAGTCCGCTGCTTCAGCAACAACCTAACCTGACGTTTCCTCTTTTTTTTCCCCTCTTCTTCTTCTTTTGCCCGGGCCTGCTTTGTAAAGCCCAAAGGTGCCCAGTCTTCTCGACCAAGGCCTCCATCCGACCTGGTGGCAGACAGCCCATCGCCCATCGAGCTCCCTGACTGACATGCGCTGGATCGAGTTACAGCTACACCCCCTTCTCTCCAGCCTCGACGGCCACCTGGTTCTCTAATACGCCAACTCTTCGCTCTCGCCACCTTTATACTTTGATTGGTCCTAACACTTAATGTTTCCTCCTCTTGCTCGATTTCGCTTGACCTTGGCACCGTTTGCCTCCATCACACGCCCGCCGCACGCCGTCTCGAATCCCACTCGCCACCCTCGTTCCCCCTGCAGTGTGACGCAAGCGTATTATTGCATGTGGCATTACGCACCAACACCGTGTGTTCCATCTTGCGCCGTCCCCCCTCCGCCCCGACTCGGATCTTGATGTCTTAGCCCTCTAGCGCAGGCGCCGAGACACCATAGACCAGCCCAGAGATCCATCTCCCTTGTCTTCGCATCGACAGGGTGTTGCCACAAAAAGGCACACCTACCGTCGAAGCCCCACCGCCTCCACGACGACGTCGATTCCGCTTCTCGGTTTGCATTTTCCCATCGCGGCCAGCAGCAGCGGCAGTAACAGCAGCAGCGGCTCCGCAACACCTGGGCCAGGCTGTCCTTTCGAGCAGCCAGGCCCTCGCGAGACCTCGCCTGCGCGGGCTGATCCGTCACCGGCCCAGAACCCCTCACAAAAAAGGAAGGGGGAGGCTGAGCAAGGGAGGCGTCACAAGAAACAAAAATCCGTCTCCCAAATCTGCCCTCCGGCACGCACGTCTCATGGGCCCCCCGACAGCGGAATGGTTTCTACAAGTGCGTCCCTTTTCCACGACGCCTCGCCCGATCCTTCGCTAGCGACAGCCGACAGGGACTTCGCCACGCTGGAACGCGAAGATGGGCGCGTGCCTCCGCTTCGGCTTAGTGTGAGCTCGACGGAGCCCCCACATTATGCCGCCACTCCCGTCACGGCCACCGGCCTTCCCCGGGACGGAGTGGTATCCAAGGGCGGGCTGCCACGCCCAAGCTCGCAGCCCCCGAGGCCCTCGCTGAAGGACTGCCCCGTCGGGTCCGGTGCCCCCTTCAACATCTCGTTGCCGTACATCACTCCTGGTCAGTTGGCTTTCACCGCCATGCATTTCCTGCCCATGCCCATCCTGGTCCTCAACAGCATGAAGACGGTAGTCTTGGCCAACGAGGCCATGGGGAGGATGTTGGGCATCGCCTCGGAACCCGATTCGGATGACTCGGACGAAGACAGCGCCATCTCGGTCCTGGACTTGCTCCGCGACCAGACTATGTCCCAAGTCGGCATCGACATGTTGCAACAGGGCCGGCTGGTCTGGTTGTCGTGGGAAGCCTTCCTGGACTCGGTCGCCAACGACATGTGTCACAGCCCAGCGCGGACACGCCCTGCCGACGGCGCCCGCAACGGGCTTTCTGCCGGTGGTGAAGATAGCCAGGAGATGCCGACGACGAGAGGCGGCGATGCCTCGCGGCCCTCCAGCACGGGCCCCGAGGCTGCCGCACAAGCTGCAAAGGCGCCGTTATGCGTCGAGGTGGTCGTTTCCAAGAGGGATTTTGGCAAGCCGAAGGAACCCCGGGCCAAGCGGTCAAAGAAACTGGACCAGGCCGCCTACAGTCACGCCAAGATGCTAATCAGCGTTTGGGAGGCCGAAGGCCACACGTACTTTACTCTGACCTTTACCAGCACCGAAACGAACTTGATATCGGTGGCGAGCGTTAAGAAGGCGGTTGTCCGGCAGAACATGCTAGACGCTGCAGATCGGAAGTCGGTATACACCGGGAGGCCTTCCTCAGTCAGTGCGTCAAGTCGCGAGTCTGGCGGAAGCTTGCAGCAGAGCCCGAACCAGTTCATCACGCTCGGTGCGACCCCCTTCCCGCCGCTCGGGCCGCCCGCCGCCATCCCCGCCTCCAGCACGCCCTCGATCCTGCATAAGCTCTTTACCATGAAAGACGCCATCCTCGACAACACACAGATGCCCGTCATCGCAATGTGGAAGGACTCGTCCGTCTCCTTTCCGAACAAGGCCGCCCGGAATCTCTTTAGGACCTACGAGGAGCCGGACCCGCTACACGAGGGAGTCGGGGTTCTCAGGTACTGGGATGTCTGGGACGAGGATTTCAAACGGAAACTGGAGCCTGAGGAGTATCCAATATCGGTCCTAGTGCGCACCGAGACTCCGTTTGCTGGAGTCCGCGTCGGAATGTACAACCAAGAAGGCAACAAGGTTGTCTACGATGTCCTCGGGGAGGCCATCCGGGACGAGGTGACCGGAGAGTTCGTCGCGGGCGTTGTCACCTGCCGCGATGTCACCAAGATGGCGCAGATGCTCGCGACACTTAAGGAACTCGAGGACGAAAAGTTCAGACTAATCTGCGATACGATGCCCCAGCTCGTTTGGACCGCCACCCCAGACGGGAGCCACGACTTCTTCAACAGCCGCTGGTACGACTACACCGGGCTGTCTAGGGAAAACTCACTGGGCGTCGCCTGGAAGAACCTGTTCCACCCGGACGACATGGTCGAACAGGAACGCCGCTGGAGGGTTTCCCTACGGACCGGAGAGCCCTACGCGATAGAGTACCGCTGCAGGAGCAAGACTGGCGAATGGCGGTGGTTTTTGGGGCGCGCCCTGCCCCTGCGAGACAAAGACACTCTGGAAATCACAAAGTGGTTCGGTAGGTGTCCCGCCTGACTATGGATATAGCTCGCACTTTATCCTCGACCTGGCAGCCGCTTACACCTCGGACTTTCCCTCATCTAGGAACCTGCACCGATGTCCATGAGAGCATGGAGGCTAAGTTGGCAGCGAAGCGCCTGAGAGAGCAACTTTTGACGGTCATCTCGCATGCGCATGTCACCATCTTCACCGTGGATACAGACCGCAGGGTCACCATGCTGGAAGGCTCGATAAGCTGGGACGCCACCGGCGAGCGATACCGCGACCATGACGACGGGTCTCGGTGGTATCTGGGCCAAAACATGTACGAGGTCTTCAACCGCCTAAACTCACATCTCGAGGACGGCGAGAGGCCGCGTTTCCTGGAGCCAGTCGAGTCCATCCTCGCTGGCAGGTCCACCGAGGACATCCAGGAGCACGGAATAGGTAGGTGTCCGACCCGAACTCAAGACACACTGGCTCTCAGCCTTGGCACTGACCGATTTGTTCTCATACTCAGATGGCCGTTGGTACCGGACGCGCTTCATCCCAGTGATAGGGAAGACAAAAACCCCATATGGCTTCATGGACCACGAAGGCGCCGTCGAGGGTGTAATAGGTGTCATATTCGACGTGACTGAGCTTCGCGCTCGCGAGATGGACCTCATCGAGCAGGCCAAAGAGAGGCGACAGCTGGTGGCCAACGAGGCTGCTGCCAAGGAGGCGAGCAGACTGAAGAGCCAGTTCCTAGCAAATGTCAGAAACCCCCTCGGTGCTAGCCCCGCCCCATCCCCCAGCTCAACATCTTCTCGAGATGTTCTAACGGTTATTCTGGGCAAAGATGTCTCACGAAATACGTACTCCCATAACCGGGGTCATCGGAATGGCCGAGTTGCTCCTAGATCTCCAATTGGATGCGGAGCAACGGCAGTACGCCGAGAATAGTAAGTCCACCCTGGAAACGCGAAGGTGCTCTGGAAGGGCTTTGGGCTCGCTCGCCATGGTGGTGTATGAGTCGGGTGCTGATGATGCTTGACCGCTGCTAGTATATCGATCCGCAAATGCCCTCCTTACCGTCATCAACGATATTTTGGACTTCTCAAAGGTTGAGTCGGGACGACTAGACATTGAGGAAGTGCAATTCTCGCTATCTGTCATTGTGGGGGATGTCAACAAGATGCTCAGCTTCGCAGCCGAGCGCAAGAGCTTAGACTTCCAGTCCGAGATTTCCCCCGAGGTGGAAAGGGACCTGGTCGTCCTGGGCGACCCAGGGCGGGTGAGGCAGATCATCACGAACCTGCTGACAAACAGCATCAAGTTCACAACACAAGGCTACGTCAGGTTCTCGGTGCAGAAGGAGAGGGAGACTCGGTCCACAATCGAGATCAAGTTCGTTGTCGAGGACACAGGCATCGGGATTGAGGAGCAGGTGCGACGGCGGCTGTTCCAGCCATTTAGTCAGGGAGACACCTCGACGGCGCGCAAGTTTGGTGGCACGGGTCTGGGCCTGACCATCTGCAAGAACCTACTCGGGTTGATGAAGGGCCGCATGTCACTTGAGTCTACGCTGGGGGCTGGAACTACGGCCACCTTCTGGATCCCTTTCAACAAGCCGCAGCACGGCGTGGAGTCGGGAGATCTTGTCGAGATCGAGGCACTGCCAGACCGGCTGCAGTCAGAGATGAGCGTCTCGCGCAACAGCTCGATGGACCCTGATCCCAACTCGACTCACGCCAACCTTGGCAGCATCGACGTGGGCTCGGAGCAGCTGGCCGCAAACAATACCAGCGGCACAGTTTCCAGAAAGAGGTCGCTCGTCCTACCGTCGTCACCCCTCGCGCAGGACTTGGACATGGACGCGCGAGCCAAGATACATGTCCTGGTGGTTGAGGACAACGCCATCAACCAGGAGATCGCCACCAAGACCATCAAGAGGCTCGGCTTCACCGTCAGCGCTGTATGGAACGGCAAGGAGGCGCTGGAGTACCTCGAAAAGGCACAGGATGGACAAGCGTTGCGCCCCGACATCATCCTGATGGACGTGCAGATGCCCGTGATAGACGGCTACAGATGCACCCATGTGCTGCGGCACCACACCCCGTACAAGGCCTACGTTAAAAATGTGCCCATTGTGGCCATGACCGCGTCGGCCATACAGGGCGACCGCGAGAAGTGCAGGAAGGCGGGCATGGACGACTACCTGGCGAAGCCTGTGCGCAGCCAGATTCTGGAAAAGATGCTGGTCCGCTGGGCCATGTCCAAGAGGAAAAGGCCATTTGGAACACCGCATTCCGGGCTATCGTCGGCATCTGAATGCTCGATGCTAGACGGCCAGTGCGGCGTCACGGACCCTGAGGAGCACAGCGTCGACAGTGCAAACGAAGCCGGGCCGAGGCCGAACAGAGACCCCACGCCGACCTCGGGAGCTGCGAGAAGGCCGTCGACGGGCAAGCGCAAGCCCACGGCCATCCTCAGGATCGATCCCAACGGCGGCGCGCACCACGGCGAACAGGGTGACGACGGCGACGGCCGGGCCGGGCGGCAGGCCGAGCTGTCTACCCCGCGGGTCCAAAAACAGCAGGACTCGGGCTACCAGGGCTACCGCCACCTCCTGGGTTCTCAGGGCGACGCGCCCATGGAGCGGCCCCGCAAGACGCTACGGCTCGTCGAGGCCAGCGAGCGGGCGCTCCACTCGCGCGACGACAAGCTGGTGGACGCGACCGGGAGCGCCGAGCTCGGGTGGCCATCGCCGTCGTACTCGCTCGAATCTCCGGCCGGCGGCATCCTGGGCGACTCGCTCACCCAGGAGAACATTGAGAAGCTGGGGATCCAGGAGGCCGCCATGCGGCAGCAGCGTGCCTCTAGCGGCGGCGGCTCCGGCTCGACGGGGCGCATGGCTGATTAGAGAAGAGAGCGCGCCTCGGGCATGAGCCATCCCTAAGAACATGATTAAATCTGCTTGTGCTGCGTTGTAGTAGCAGGACGTGTCCGGTTCTTCCAAGCCAAGATCGAAAAATCGGCGCCGTTTTAATGTGTCATTCTTTCCCACATTCTCCCTCTTCTGTCAGGTCTGTGTTCCTTTATTTCTCTCCTTCCTTCTCGGGAACGGCACGGCGTCTTTCGGGGTTTACTGCAGCATATGAAACAGCACGGGATCATGATAGAGAAAGGATTATGTACACGCATCGGAAGGTCCTTGGGTTGGGGTTTGTTTTTCCATTATTCCCTTTATTGGTTCCTGTGGGGGGGTTGCTGGTTTAGGCTTTTCCCTCCCTCCCCCTTTTTTTTTTTTCATTTTTGGCTACTCCATTCCCATCTTTTGGGCTCAAACTGGAACCGAGTTGAACAAGGGAGGGGTTGGAAAAAACAGACCGAGAGAGAGGGAGAATTAAAACAAGAGAAGAAGGCGCCGAATGTCTATATCTCAGGAAAGCTCTACTCTTTCGAGGGGAGAGGTGCCGTCGAGGTTGTGCGTAATCAATGTCGGCGGGTCTAGCACAGGCATCTGGATATCACAAGGCAACGCAAGAGGAGGGTGGCGGATGGGGATGCGAGGTGGTGGCACAGAAAGGCCTACGATGGCATAAATCGGACACTGATGTTTCTTCTTCGCTTCAATACGATATGTCTACCCCTAATAACGACATCACTTGCAAGTCGGAACACGAGGACAGGATGGTCGTACGGTTTAATGGTGGAACGCTTTTGGAAATTTTTATTCAATGCCCTACTCTCCCCGCGCCAACTTCCAAAAGGTCGTCGGGGTGTCAGGGGGCAGCTAGGGATGAAATGCGGGCAGGTCAAGGAAGGTACCATGAATGATGCCCAGGTAAAACACGACAGACGATACAGGATCAAGACAGCAACATCCAAGGACTTGGGTAAGACAGTAGACTCTTCGCGGCACAAGCAAGCCAGCCCAACAAAGAAAAGAGCAGCAAAATGGATAATCAACAAGCAGCGACGCCTCGCAGCTGGGCTCAGATGTCCCTCGACGTTCTCTCGGTCACAGGGGTCGCCGCGTCCGAGTCGGCGACGCTCGCCCTGTCAATCTCGAGGGACTCCTTCTCCTTGCCCTTCTTCTTCATGGAGAACCAGCGGTGGGAGCTGCTCATGCGGCTCTCGGGCCGGTCCTTGGCGGCGCCGCTGCTGCTGCTGCTGCTGCCTTCCTTGTCCCTGCTGCTGCCGGCAAACTTTGACGGCCCCAGCGACGGGCTACTCGTGACGCTGTCGGCGCCGCGCCCGAGCATTGCGGCGGCCGAGGGGGACGAGTCACCGCCGCCGCCGCCGCCGCCGCCACCAAAGGCGTGGCCTCCGAAGTTGTCGGGACTCAGACCCGACGTGGCCGACAGGCCGGCATCATCGAGGTCGCCGATGCTCGAGCGGCCATGCGTGTCCGAGTTTGCCGACACGCTACCGGGGCCCTTCTTGCTCAGGCGCGAGGTGAAGCTGAACTTGCTCGAGCTGCTCTTCCGGAACAGCTTCTTAACCACGTTGTCCGGGTGGACGCTCTCCTTGGAACTGCCGGGCGTCGCCGAGCCGAGGCTCCCGTCGGGCAGCGTGTTGGAGAGGCTCGTGTCCAGCGTCAGGGACTCGCGCGATTCGGACACGGATGTCTCCGTGTGCACCGACATGCCATCGCGTGAGACGCGCGAGTCCGACGGCGACGTCTCCCCGACCAGAGACATGGAGCTTTCGTTGGTCTTGCCTTTATCCTTGTCCTTGCCCTTGCCGTCCTTGGACTTATCCTTGGATGACTTGAACAACAGGGTCGTCATGAAGGTGGGCGCCGCGGGGTTGAGCGTCTTGAGCGATGTCTTGGTGCCAGGTGGCCTGCTCCCGATCACACCAACCTGGCTGGGCAGCGCACCGTGCTTCATCAGCGCCTCCTCGTCCAGGATCTCGTCGTCAGCCGAGGCCAGTGTGGTCTTCAGCACCGACGGTGACCCATGGATCGAAGGGCGGCGCGAGGGGTTGCGAGACCAGCCGTGCTCGGGCGGCGACCACGGCCACGTCTTGCCAACTATGACATGCATATCGGCCGGATGAGGGCCCCAGATGCCCGAGGTCCCCTCGGTGGAGGGCCGCGGTAGGTCCGACGAGGCGGTAGAAGCCGGGCGCGGGCTGCTCGGATCCCTCTCGTGGAAAACACCACTCGTGACTCGTGAGCCGCCAAAGGGGAAGATGCTGCGCGCTGAGAATCGGCCCGTGTTGGAGGTGGAGGTGGGCGGGATGCGCGCATCCTGCAAAAGCTCTGGACCCGCCGAGTTGCGGTTGAACATGCCGTTCCACGACGAGAGGCTAAGCTTTCTCTTATTAACCAGGCTCTCGGGCTCGTCCGACTGGCGCGGGAATGATTGACTCTGGCCAGGCTTGAGGCTCCCGAGCGCCGGTCCTTCCATCTCGGACGGCTTCGAGCCCCTAGATCGCTGGAACTTCAGCAGGCTGGCCAGGGATGAGCCTTTGCCCTCGGGTTGGGCCGCCGGGAGGGGCGGCGACGACAGCGGCGCCCCGAGGTCCCTCGCGCTCCTTAGCGGCCTCCTATCACCAGGCTCCCCGTGCTGGGGAAAGGGCAGGTTGTGGGTCGAGCCGCGGGGGCTGGACAGCATGCTCATCGACTTGTTGGAGTTGGAGCCCGGCGACTGGGGATCGTTGACGGGCGAGCCGAGACGCCGAGGGGGCACGAACGGACTTTGGTCGGGGCTCGGGTCGTCGTCATCCATGTCCATGAAGATGTGCGACGGCAGGAGCGCCTTGGCCGTGGGGCTGAGCGGCGCGTCTCCCGCCAGGGCCCTGATAGCGTCCTCGCGAGACATGCCCAACTCGGCAGGAGCGTCGGCGGGCAGGGTCATGAAGGGGATGTGGGCAAAGCCGGGCGGGCCCGACAGCCGGCTGGCAGAGAAGCCTGGCACAGGAGCCCCCGTGACTTCCGACACCGGGTAGACGGCGTTCATGGCCGGCGACGGACCGACGGCGACGCCCGACATGGAGTTGCCGTTCCTGCTCCTCCGCTTCATCTGGCTGCTCAGGCCGTCGCCAAACTCGACCGCCGACGGGTTGGACTGGGCAAAGAACTCGCGCTGCTGCAACTGCTGCATCTGCTGCAGCTGCGTCGAGATGCCCAGCGTCGACTCGTCGAGCTGGCGAGTCCGCTTGTTCTCGTAGTCGAGCGTGGCATGCAGCTCCCTTTCCCGCCTGTTCCACTCTCTACGCGCTTCGGCGTCCTGCTCGCGCCACTCCGCATCGTCCTCGCCGCCAGGAAGCTTCTTCCTAGCGTCTTCCAGCTCCTTGACCTGCGCGCGCCTCTCCTTGAGCTCCGCCTCCATGTTGCTGCATTCCGTCGACAGGATCATGACCTCGCCCCTGAAGCAGTCCTCCTGCCCGTTCTTTTCCTCCTCCATCTTCTCCTTTTCCTTGGCGAAGCTCTCCTGGTCCTTGCGCATCTCCTCGATGCCCTTCTCGAAGTGCGCCACGCGTTCTCCGAGTTTGGTGCGCTCCGTCTGCTTTTCCTTGAGCAGCTTCTCCTTCTGAGACTTGCGCTGCAGCGCGTTGCGCATGAGGCGCTCCGTAGTCCCCTGCTCCCGCCTCAGCCTCTCCGTGTGTTCCTCCTTTTTCTTCTGCTCCTTCTTCTTCTCCTGCTTTTCCGCCTCCATCTCGCTCAGCGTCTGCCTGTGGTCCTCCTCTTCCTTTGCCATCATCTCGGTCAGATCCTCTGTCTCTCGTAACAGCGCCTTGTACTTTTCGCCAAGGACATCCATCTGCGCGTCCGTGGGTTCGGCCACCTCGGCCTCTGGAGGCGGGGGTGGGGGCGGCTGGTCCATGGCAGCGACGGAGGGCGAGTGACGCCTGCCCACCGTATTCCTCCGCATCCCGGGTACAGAGGAAGGGTTGGCCTCGCGGGTCACGACCTGGGGCGGGGCTTCCGACACGGCGGCCGTCTCTACAGCCGGCACGGGGCTACGCGGGGCGCCATTCTCGTCCACAACCTCCGTCTGTGAGGACAGGCCCTGCTCGTCTGGGGTAAAATTAGAGGGCAGCCGAGCGTTCCCGAGCTGGGGGCGTCCGTCTCTGGCGAATGTGCGAAGGCGTATGACACGGCTGCCGGCCTGGAAGTTGTTGGCGCCAACGGCAATGACACGCACGTTGTAAAAATGGTCCGGCTTGAGGCCCGATACGATGATGAAGTTGTCCTGGTTGCTCGCAATCTCGCCCACTACATTCCCGAAAGCACCAGCGTCATGGTTAGGAGCCTGCCCTCGGGCCTCGTCTCGGAGAGAAACTAGCAAAGGTTCGCAAGTCGTTCCCACTCACCATTAACTCCATTGACCTGGATAAGGAACTTCTGCACGGGGCGATTTGGCTGGGCTCTGGTCCACGTCAGCGTGGCCTTGTCCGCGGCGATCCCCGTGAGGGAAACATCGGGGCTGTCGGGGACCTCGAGGCCCAGTATTCCAATGAGCTCGGGCACGGGTTTCCAGAGGGTCTGGGATGCCCGGCGGAGGAGCCTGAGGAGCGCAACCAAGAATCCCACGGGTTAGCCAGAAACAACTCCTCCCAGATACAGGTGCGGAAGAGGGCCGAGTATGACGCACCAGACAACGGCGGCGCCGGTGAAAAGCATCCTCGCATTGGACGCGACGAAACCGGCCAGGAAACTATCGAGCTGGAGGAGAAGAAGGGTGCTGGCGCAGTACTGGAACACGTTTACGGGGATGGCGCGGGCCAGTTCCGGGTTGACGGCCCCGAAGAAGAAGAAGCAGCCGACGAGAACGATGGAATTGAGCTGGGCGGTCTTGGGTCTGTGGGAAGGTTGCCAGGGATTTTGCGGTCAGCAATCGCGCCCGAGGTGAGGAGGGGAGGGCAGCACTTGGGAGGAGCAGAGACATACTCGGTATACCACCATGCGAGGATGACGCACAAGAGAAGCAGAGACGGGCCAGCGGTCGTCCAGGAAAGCCATAACATATTTCGGTTCTATCTCATCGAAACGGCCGACGCGGTGGTGCGGAGGGGGCGAAGCTGGACGATGGTTGGGGAGGAGCGGGGCCGAACAATTGTCGTTGTTGTTTTTGCGGTGGGTTGGACCAGGCGACAGGTCGGGTCGGCTGCTCTGCGTCAAGTTGGATGGCGCTGGTGGTTGGTTGGCTGGATGGGGAGGAGGAGGGTGGTGGTGGTGGTGGTCCGCAGCAGCCACAGAGGGACAACAGACAGCTGTTCGGGCCGGCACTGAATCACTGGAGAGGGGAGGAGCGGACCATGGGGCAAACGCGGCTAGCGGCTGTGGCTGACAATACCGAACAATTGGTTGTGCCTGTGTTTGCTGTTGGCACGAAAAGAAGAGAATAAGGATGGGGAAAGGGAGGGTACGTACTCCTGCACAGTCCAGACAAACCAAGAAAAGAAAAAAAGGGAAGGACTCGAAGCCAGGCAGGGCGGCAGGGCGATCGACAAGAAAGCAAAAACCAAGAGAGAGAAAAAATTGAAGGGAAAAATGTAGGTCCACACGCAATAAGAAACAAAATAAAACAAATCAGAGATTGCAGCCGCAACAATGGCCTGAATGAACGACCAGGCAGCGCGTCAAGGGTGGCCCCCAGCCCCAGCCCCAGCCGCCTGCCCGCTGTTCCCCACCGAAGCACGAATCATGCTTGCCGAGCAGGGCAGGCAATCGAGGCTAGCACGCCAGGCACTTCTGCCAGACCCCACACCTTCTTTCGTCCACATGCTGCACACAAAAGACCCGACCGCAAAGCCCTGTTCGGACTTGTGGACTGAGGGGAGGGGCACGCTAGCCCAGCCTAAGTAACCCCCCACGCCCATCAGGCAGTTTTATAGATCCAAGGGATTAGAATTATTTAATACTTCAGATTATTTTATTTTATTTCTCTGTTCCTTTCTCTATTCCTCTTTCTGCTCCTATTCCTGTTCCTGGTTTTATAGTATGTATAGCCTTACCGTTATTTGAATAAGATTGCCACGAGGAGCTTTACCTCTCTCCCTTCTTTATCAATGTCATCGTCATACACCGACATCGTATCGTCCTAGTAGAAGGTATTGTCCCTGCCATAGTATCCTCGGTGCCAATCACGCTCGGGATCCGGCTCGTTGCCCTAAAGCCTTCCGTCCGCACTGTCGGGCTTGGGCTTGTCATCATCATCCGCTGGCACCGGTTCAGCGTGGCTTCATGCCCGTCCCATGAGGCTTGGCCTCCACCTTTGACACCCCTGTTTAAGATGAGGAACGCACGCTGACGGCGCCGAAGGGTGAGACGCCTGCGTTTTCGACGAGGAATACCTGGACGGACCCAGGAAGACAGCCAACAGGGAGCTTACGCGGAGGTTCACTCACCAGTATCATCGACGGCTGCAGGGTCTAGGGAGATCTCGGGATAGTGCGCATGGCAGGGGACGAGGCTGATGCGCATCGAGCTCGCAGACGGATGGCAGGAAGCAAAGATAGGCTTAGTCAGATAGATGCCCTTTTAGTTACCGCGGGCGTTAAATACGACGACAGCCCGAGCCGCCGGCGTCATTTGATCGCCCCACTCGCTACAGAGCACGGACAGCCTTCCATATGCTTCGGCAGTGAGGCCAGTCGCATGCCCTCCCCAACTGCCACGGAGAGCAGGCAGCAGGACTTGCCGCCGGCTTGGGAATCAGATCAAAGGCCGAACTCGGTCAGTCCCTACTTGTGGGCGCCATCCCAGCCGATGACGAGCCCGAGTCTCCCACTCCCCGCCAACCCTGCGAGTGCTACCGGAGATGTCATTGTGCGGACACCTTCGATGAGATCCGATACTCGACTCTCTACCCCATTTTCCCTTCATTTTTGGTAGATCCGGGATTCCACAGAGGATCCCCGACAGACACAACAACAATCAAGAAAACAGGCTTACGGCCCCTCAGGCGATCCTATTAGATGTGTTTTCGTCAGATCAGTTTTATGGCGGTTACAATCTTGTTCCATTCCAGTGAATGAAAAGTCCGTTCGAAGAACTGCACTACCGCTATAAAGGCTGGCGGTTTAACGGTACGCTGTTGGAAATAAAAGCGCCGAGCTCGAGCTGTTCTGGAAAACTACCATCCTTTTGTGGTAGGCATATCTCCCCTTCAGCAGCTGCGGTCGTCGGTGGCTTTACAACGCAGGGAAACGGCATGCAAATTCAGTAGTCGTGTTTTATCTGTTTCTGTTTCACATCCAACCCAGACCAACAAGGAAACCCAGAAATCCCCCCCCC